CTACCAAAGGTAGTTATGTGTATAAGAATATAAGAATTAAAAACAACATCTCTTTTGGCCAGCATGTCATAACCCTTTCTGAACATAGACATACAGGGCTCTCTCGGAAGGTTTTGTGGTACTTACCCTTTCTGTTTTATTTGGTTACTTGGAAGCAAAGAGAAAGAAAGCCTTTCTCTTTGTAGCTATATACTTGTTACGGTACTTTTCATTTTGGAGTCTCTAAGACCAAGTATAATTTTGGGTTACTAGGCAGAATCCTGCATAATTTTGAGGAGTACAGCTTGTTTTAACAGAAGGGTCATGCTGAAATGTAAAATTCACTCCTTCCTCTGTCATTCTATAACTATAAAACATTTGAAATCCTGACAATATTTGCTTATAGTGGCCATAGGCTGTACACTTGTTTTATAATTTCGCAGGATATGAATTTCAATGACAAAGGATTTTTTCACTGTTGAATTAACTTGTTTTGATAATTCTTTTAGATATGAGTCTTTTGTTGAATATGTGATTTGTGAATACTTTTTCATCTCTCTGTAGCTTGTTGACTTCCAGAATAAAAATTTTAAATTTCAGTAAAGTCAAATTTACCTTTTTTTCTTTTATACATCTTGTTTTGGTATCATGTCTAGCAATTCTTTAAAAAGCCTTAGGCCTTGAAGATTTTCTCTCACGTTATGGTCTACATTTTACTTTTAAATATATACTAATTTTGAGATGTTTTAAAATTTTTTAAGCTAATTCTATGAGATGTACTGATATATGTGTATATTGCACAATGCTCAAATGAGGCTAAACACAGCTATGCCCTCAAACATTTTTAAAAGAATACAATCCTTTTTTCTAGTTTTATGAACTAATAGTACATCATGGTATTCGCCAGGGCTCACAAGTGTGTGCAGGCTAGGGCGGGGCTTCTCAAAAGGCAGCACAGCTCTGAACCAGATGTAAAGCAGGGCACAGACATTTACAAGGTCGGCCTGCAGTTGCTGCGCACAGAGTCAGATGTAGAAAAGGGATCTGTCCAGAGAGTTGAAGGAGCCAGACAAAGCCTGGAGCCCACAGCAATGTCCTGTAGGACCCGCACCAGGAGGCCGAAGGACCCATGAAGAAACATTGAGGGGTCTGGGCCTGGAGGTCAGAGGGTCCAGGAAGCTGAAGAATCCAGGCCAAAAGCCCAGAGAAGATGCCTAAGGTGAAGGGAAAGACCAGAGCTCCTCTGAAAAGAAAAGCTGAAGCTCCTGAAATCAGCTGAAATCCCTCCTTCCTATTCTTTTATACCTTCCTGACAACACTTCTCCTTAAAGTGGGCCTTCTGCACCCAGAGCCCCGCAGACTCCATTCAGAGTGGCGTTCCTACACAAGGTGACCAATTAGCCACCATGACCATGGCTGCACATAGTCAGCTACTGTACAGGAGCACACCAGCATGTCTTCTTCGCCTGCGTTAAATAACCTGTCTTGCTGTGAAGTTAAGGTCAAGGTATTTAACACAGGATTGTCCGATTCCTTCAACATCATCTGTTGAAAAGGTTACTGTCCTCTAATGGATCACTTCTGAACCCTTGTGTAAAATCAACTGAGCACGATCACACGGGTATGTATCTGGTTCTCTACTCTACTCTATCATAGCTATCCCTCTGCCAATAGCACGCATTCCTGATTATCGCAGCTACTTATTTTGAAATCAGGCAGTGAAATTTTGCCCATTTTATTCTTCCTTAAGCATCTTTAAAACAATTGTAGTTTCTTAGCATTTCCATATAAATTTCAGAAGAATCTTGTCTTTACTTTCAAAATATCTTGCTGTGGTGTTAGGACTTTTGTTCATTCCATGTGTCAACTTGAGAAGAACCGATACTGTGTTGAGTGTTGGAATTCAGTCTTGTTTAGATCTTTGATTTCTTTCATCATTGTTTTGTAGATTTGGTATATAAATACTGTACAAGTTTTTTAGTTTACACTTACATATTTCTTTTGGGGAGAAACTGTACATTGTATTTTAAATCTTGGTTTCTATAGATTTATTACTAGTTAACTAGTATACAGAAGTAGTCATAGCCAGCCCAACTCCAACTTTTGCACCAATGCCAGTTGGTACCTGTGTTAGAACAAAGTGCTTGCACTTGAACAAAGCACTCAAAACACCCACATCCTGCTCAGCAGTAAACTCGCTGCAGTTGCAGGATGTTTTGTAGCTCACCTAGTGTGTGTGAAACTTCGTTGTGCCCCCCACTAACCTGGCATGGTTCTGCTTCTGTAAGATTCGGCTTGCTCTCCCCTGAGCCCGCTCCAACTGAAAGTATGACTTAAAGAGAAATCAGACTGCTTCCCGAGGAAATTTCTGAGCGCTAGCTACCTCGGCCACTGGCTATATAATAAAAGGGCTTGAATTTGGCATGAACAGTGGCACACCTCTATTGTTCGAACTCGCTCACCCATAACAGTACAAATGATTTTTTGTTGATCATATACTTTGAGATATTGCTGAACTTTAGGTTTCTTTGCCTTAGAGATAACTTTACTTCTTCCTTTCCAATCTTCTGTATGCTTATTTCTGTTGCCTTACTCTGCTGACTAGAAGTTTCCATATTAAGAATGCTGGCATCCTTTTTGATATAGGATCTTGCTATGTACCTCAGACTGACCTTGGACTCCTGGTGATCCTCCTGCAACAGCATCCCAAGTGCTGGGATTGCAGGCATGTACCACAATAATGAAGTCCTTGCCTTTTTCTTTCTTTTTTTTTGGAGGAGGATACTGGGTATCTTAACTCTAGTCATTGTGCTTGTGAGGCAGGCAGTGGAACCACTGAGCTAAATCCCCAGCCTGTCCTTTTCTTGATCTTAGAAATAAGTATTGTCTTCATCATTAAGTACCTTAGTTGTAGGCTTTTTGAAGATGTTATCAAATTAAAGAACTTCCTTTGTATTCCTAGTTTTGAAGGTTTTCTTTTAATAGGTGCTGAATTTTGTGAAATGGTTTTCAGATATCAAATTATATGTTTATGTGATGTTTCTTCTTCAGCCCATTCATATGGTGACTTACACTGAATTTTTAAGTAATGAATCAGTCTTCTGTATTTTCTCATCAATATAGATATAAAAATCCTAAGTGGAACTTCAGCAAATTTTATTAATTTTTCTATTGGTCTATTCACAAATCACCACAAACTTCACGACTTAAAACAAACGGAAAAATGGTCTCTTACATTCAAAATCACTCTTACCAGGATAAGGTCAAGGTCTGAACAAAGGTGGCTTTTCCAAGGCTGTTGGGGAGAATGTTTCATTGCCTTTTCCAGTCTTCAGAGACACCTTGCTGTCTTGTTGATGCAAAACATTTACCTTTCATGTTCATTTTGATTGGGAGGGAGCCAGAATTTGCATGATGCCAGATCCGGTAAGGTGGATGACGACACCGCATAGCGTTTTTGACAGATGCTGCTATAAACATTTTTCATTGATTCAGAACACCAAGGCAGCCACGGAAGGATGCTCATGAAAGAGGCCTTCCAGAACGGCTTCAGAAAGTGCAAGAGTGAAGGGATGAGTGTGTTTTAAGTGAGGGGTATTGTGAGGAAGATTAATGGCAATGCCTGTTTTACTGCAATACATTTTTAAAATTAAACATTGATCTTATTCTGGATGACACCACATGCATCCTTTGACCTGTGGCCCCTTCCTCCACATTTAAAGCCAGTGGCATAGCATCTTCAGATTTCATGGATCTAACTCTAACCCGTCTTATCTCCCTTGTGTAGGAATCCTTGAGCTCCAGGTGGACAATCCAAGATAATCTTCCAACTCAAGACCCTTAACATTTGCAAAATTCCTTGGTGAAAATTTCACGGGTTCTAGAGAGATGAACATCTTGAGGGGCCATTTTTCAGCCTATCATATTTCTTTTGTTGTATTATCTTTATTGGTTTTGATGTCAGGAGAACATTGGGCAGTCTCATTTTTATCTTTGTAACAAAATTCTACTGTGATATTACATTTTATATTTTGTAATTTTTCTTACTGTCGCTTTCCTGTGAGGTGATATTACAAGGAGTGTTGTCTGTTAATGTCGGTGCAGAATGTATTTCTGAGCATAGGTAGAGTGTCTTGTCACCCAATTCAATAACAAAAAAATAAAATATACTTCACTATGCCTTAACAGTATGAATTATTGGCTGTTTTCCTCTTCTTTTCTTGCGCTGACAAAATGCAATGCAGATATTTTTAAAAACTGTAGTTAGGCAGTATTTATAGCACTTGAAATGCTATCAAACTATAAATGTGTCATTATGATTTGTAGTGTACCAGACAACAGTGCAAAATGGTGAGGACAACACATATGGTCTCTACTGAAATTACTCAACTACACTACTGTGCTGTGAAAGCTCATAAACAACATACTATGTAAATGAATGAACATTTCTGTGTTTCAATAAAACTTTATTGATGGACAATAAAATTTCAATTTCACATAATTCCCACATGCCACAGGATATTGTTCTCTTTTTGATTTTTAACCATTTTAATAACGTAAAAAGCATTCTTAGTCACAGTCCATTTTAAAAATAGATGGTAAGCCAGATTTGGTTGTGGGCTATTATTTGCCAACTCCTGCCTTAATTTCATGGGACCCACATTTGGAAAAGGGAGGATAGATAATAATTTAAAAAGTGACCAAACAAATAAACCAGATGATTTTATATCTTGGGAAAGTAAATAGTAAGATGGTCAGAGAATTTGCCTTTGAAGGAATGGTTAAGGTGAGACCCAACGATGAGAAAGAGCCGTCTATGGGGAAAATGGAGTATGGAGCATTCTAGACAGAGCAGCAAGAGCAAATGTGGGAGGCAGGCACAAGTCTGGTGCATTAGTGTGTGGCAGGAACATAGTGAAGAGGTGAAATGAGGTAGGAATACTCAGGAACTGAAATAAGAAAAATGACATCATTGTTAGGGGCCAGGGATCTAGCTCAGTGGATCGGTGGCCTGCCTTGCAAGTGCAAGGACCCGAGTCCAATCCCCGGTACCAAAAAAAAAAAAAAAAAAATGACATCGTTGTTAAAAAAAGTAACTTTAGCTGAGCATAGTGTACATTCTAAAGCCTAATTGTACGTTCTGTGTCTGTACTGTAGCCCCTTGTTAACTTATATGACTCAACAAAGCATTGCAAATGGGAGGGGGTGTTTTCATATTGTCCAATCACTCAAGAAAAAGTCTTTTCTGTATAATGCAGTATATCAGCAAGAATAGATACAATTAGACCACACAGTTTGTTTCATTAAGTGATCATCCCTAAGTCATAATGCATTATTCTATGCATTATAGTACTAATGTGATGTTCACTGGATCCCTCTTAAGACTATTTATAGGGGTTTTATATAAAACGTCTAGTTTTTAAAGTAAATTTTAAAACATTAAGTCCTTAGTTTACACCATTTTCTTTTTATACTGACTCATTTGCAAAACTTTTTCTAGTTTCTTCCAGAGCATTGAAAAAATCATTTTTAAGTTTGCATTGATTTGTGGCAATATCTGTATTCAACAATCAAATGCTATACTATTTCCTTTTAAGTGGCTATGCACTTAATTACTTTCACTTGTTCAGCAATTAATTACTTTCAGAGACATATTTTGGTATTGAACCTATTGATAGTTGCAGCAAATACTGTATCAAGATTGTAATATATGTTTTCCAATCATAACACATAAAAAAGTTTTCACATCTTCAAAAAAAACCTCTCTATTTCTCCCCTGTAATATCATCTAATATCTTTCATAATTTTGAAATATCCCTCAAGTAGCTTCTTGTTCTCATTCATTTTTTCCAGTACCGCTTCTAGTAAATACGAGGCAAAAGGAAGCTGTAAGAGAAACACACAAAAAATGTTATCAAAACTCTATTTTTTCAGTTCAGAAACATCTACTAAATTATCATTAAGCCATTAGAATTTAGCTGTCTGTAACTTTCCACCCATAAGGTCACCCTACCTGGTTTCTTTTCAACTGATTTTGCTGGTTAGGGTGGGTAATTTTGTCTTTTCTAATAAAAATGATAAAAGAGCAGAAGTAAAATGAAAAAAGATAAATGCCTTATTGAACAATTCATGGTTTACTGACCATGTTAATGATGTAATCTGCCATACAAGCAGCTAAGCCATTTATCTTCAATCAGCTGATCAATAACAGGTTACAGTCATTGCTAGGGCACACAGGCTCACAGAAGTGGTACTGTATGTTCATCACTCATAAAGGAATGAGAGAGAACTATCAATATGCTGGTCTGTGTGACAGCTGAACATCTCAAGAGTTTCAGGATAAAACTTCAGAGAAAAAAATGGCGAAAGTATACTCATTGATTAAGTTGTTAAAGTTTGTTTTGTATATCAAAGTGTAATACACATGCTTCAAAAACTGCTGAGTTTCTGAAATGTGAGTACATTTTAAAATTTCATAATTGACACAACTTTTCTAGGGGTTTCACTGTTCCCTCTGCTTCACTGGTTTGCTGGTAGTACAGTTACAGGCTTTAACACAGTCTGAAATGTAACTCTAATCACCTCCCGTAGCCCTAACAATATTCTCTTGTCCTTGTTCCTAGCTGTCTTTTCTTACATAAGACAAGAATTAAGAAGTTCATTAAGTATTTATCAGAATTTTTCTTTTGACTAACCAGGGAAAGATACTTTCATTTTCCTAAAATATTAACCATAAAGCTTGTCGTGCCTCATCCTGCTCCCTAGCGGGAAGGAGGATCAGATTCTTGGGCAACTGTGACCACTGATGGCCTCATCTGAGCAAACACTGCCTACGTCCTCTGTATGGGCTGCTCAGCTAAAGCAACCACCAATCAGAAGGTTCTGTCCTGAATTCAGCTGGTAGAAAGAGAAAATACTGGCCGTGGCAGGTAAACTACAGGGAAGCCAACATATGGGACACAGAGGATAAACAGAGACCATACAAGGTTCAAAGAACTGCCTATGCCCTAAATAATTTTCTAGCTTAAGTTCATAACTTTGTAACAATCAGCCTTCTCCTTAAGCAGTATGAATCTGTATTTATCCCCCTGAAACACAAGAGCTCCATGAATTTGTCTTAACTCAAAACTTAACTCATGAAAAGATACCAAAATAGAATATTTCTTTAATTCTAAGATACAGCTGAATAAGACAAACACATAGACTTAAAAACAGCTTTTCTAAACAAGAACCAAGAAATATCATGTAAAGGTACAAGACCCCAATGATAAATGTAACTGTACTGTTTGCTTTAAATGTACCAATAAACTTAATGGAAAACAAACAAACAAACAAACAAACGAACCAGCTTTTCTGAGGGGGTGCCCTAAGAAGTACACATTACTGGTTATACATTCCAATTTCAGAAGTGTAAAAAGTGTGAAAGCATATTTTAGATTTGAGTAAAGTACGTTTAATTCTCTTCCAGAAGATATTGCTATCAATAGCAAATTCCTACTTTGACAAATTTCCCTTCTGGGATACAGAAAGGAGTTATATTTGGTAAAATTGCCAGATTTACAAATAAGATAAATTAAATATTCAGGACATTCATATTAGGTGTTAAAGAAATTAATGATAAAAATCACAAAACTATTAGGTAACCATCTTTTAATTAAATGTTTCTGCTGGGGATTTAGCTCAGTGGTTCTACCACCTGCCTCACAAGCGCAAGGTCCCAAATTCAATCCCCAGTACCAAAAAAAAAGAAAAAAGAAAAGAAAGACAGATAATTAAACGTTTCTCAGTATTATATGCATTGCTTTCAAAAAAGAAGATTCACGAAATGAGAACAACCTCCTATTCTCTGAACTGGTAGAAAAAAAATAAAAGTGTAACAAATTACTACTAATCTCCCTCAAAATATTCCTCTTTGCTTTGAACACACATTGGACTGTTCTTGCTACTGTCTCAGGTAATTCTGGAAGTCCTTTTTGTGAATGTTTAGTTGTGTTCTCATGGCTGCTCCATGTCCTGAATTGATTCAAAAATTTACCTTTCTTGGTGATTTTGATTTTGGGGAAAAGCCAGAAGTTGCTTGTTACCAGACCCTGTGAATAAGGTGAACAAGGACACAGCATAGTATTTTTATAAGCATTTCCTGTCTGTTGGATGACAGCCTTAGCAGCTTAACCTCTCATAAAGATACTCACTGAGAAGGACTTCCGCAACTGGTCAGGAAAGTGGCAAGGAAAATGGGCTGAGTGTGTGAGGACGGAGTGTAATTGAGGGGCAAAGTGTCTTTTACAGCAATAGATTTTTAGGTTAAAAACAGTATTTTTGATCAGTTCTTGTATAAAATTTCATGTATTATATCTGCTCTTTAAAAAGGATCTGATTCAGTGGGATTTCAATGCATTTGTAAAAAAAAAAAAACAATGTAGATTATAAAATTGAAAATGCAAAATTTAGTGTAATATTTATTTACACATATACCCCACCCTCACAAATAAATACACACTTTATTATCATGATATTAAAATACTGAACTTCTTAAAATTATCAAGAAAGCTACCAGAAGTAACAACTTATTTATAATTTAAATTTGGTGCTAAATTTTGAGGGAAGTTTGCTGTTATATTTCTGCCACATATCCTAATGGAACTCTTGTAATTCTGCTGAAAATTGACATACATAGAAGGCTTTGTCTGCTGCTTTGAAACTTTTGGTAAAGGATATAATTTGCTTTCCCTTTACTTTTTTTTGGGGGGGTACTGGAGATCGAACTCAAGACCTTGCGCTTGCAAGGCAGGCAGCAGCACCACTGAGCTGCATCCCCAGCCCTTTCCCTTTAGTTTTCAACCTTACTCTAAAGTCTATAAATTATAAGACAAAATTGAAATAAAAGGCGTTGAAATTTTTGTTATTTTATTTATTATTTTGCCTCAAAGAATATTTCCATAATATTTAAAGCAAATTGGTGATCTATCCTGTTATAAACTCCCCTGGGTGCAGGGGTAACCTTTTACAAGATACTTCAAGATTCAGTAAAAAGAACCGTCAGAAAGGTCTTTATGGTCATGGCACACTATGAACTACAGAAGAGAAATGCTTGAACATTCAAATTAGCTGTAGCCTTTGTTGCAAACACAACAGTGCCTCCACACCTGGGCGAGGCTTCCTGTCTGTCACTGAGAACTCTGGAACGCTGTCTTGACAGCTCACCCAGGCAGGGCTGACGCTCTGGCTCTGGATCTTCAGCTGACTGTGGTCTCACCTTCCCTTGCGCCTTATTCCCATTAAGTCACTTTCACCAGCTAATGACTGGCATTCTCACATATCAGAGACTACCTCTGTGCTCTCACTTTCAAGACAGTGCATTGGTTTGGACCCTTGTCAGCTTTTGTGGACAACCGACCTCAAACTCTGAGGCCTGACACATTCCTAATTTATTCCACCTCCTTGAAAGATTTTTTAATAGATTCTAGTTACCTGAAAGGCAAATCCTTTGCACATATGCTCACACATAATAATCTCAATACTGGCATTCAGTGTACCCTAATATGATTTACGGGAGCCATGTAGTAGGGATAGATCCACTCCCCAGACGCTCCTTAACACTAGGTGGGATATACACAACAAAGGGAAGCCTGTCATGGTCTACTGCAACCAGCAGGAATCTCTCCTTGTACACACATTAAAGAAACTATTTTAGGTCTCAACAGCACAGGTATAAACATCGGTATTTACCAATAAATATGAACACTGAATTCAGGAAAAGAAACCCCTTAAATGAAGTAAAAGCATTTAGCAGGCAGACCTTTGTTATGACCGAACTGAATGTTTGTGTCTTCCCCAAACTTATGTGAAACCCTAAATCCCAATGTGATGGGGAGAACTTAGGGAGGTACTGTAATTAAATTATAAATATGGATTCCTCACGAATGGAATTAATGCACTTAAGTGATATGCGAGCTTATTCATTCTCTGTGCTGTATGAGAATACACTGAGAAGACCACAGCCTACATATCAGGAAGAGGACCCTCGGCAGATAGTGGATCTGCCAGTGCCTTGATCTTGGCATTCCCAGCTTCCAGACTGTAAGAAATAAATGTTTGTTGTCCAAGCTGTTTAGTCTATGATATTCTTACAGATTCCTGAAATGATTGAGATAAGCCTTAAATGGAAAGACAGGAAGAATAACAGCGTTCGCAAAGATCCAAAGGAGAGTTGAATTGGCCACGTATTTATTCCTGATTTAAATATATTTTGACCCCCCCCCAAATCTGGGAAAATGATGACAGATTATATATGTACACTGCAAGTATTCGACAAATATTTCTTATGTATCCGTTATATGCCAGGCAATTGACAAAGCACCTTTTGGGATGACTTACAGGAAGTCTGGAAAAAGATGTGCTTTTCAAATAAAGAGCAAAACTTAATTATTAGACACATGAAATCACTAGACTACTAAGTTCCAATTCTTTTCTACGTACTTTCCCTTGGCTTCGATAATCATTATCCTTTTTAAGTGTACAAAAACACATTCACTTGTGACGATGTGTTTTTACATGTATTATTTTATTTATAATTTTAAGTCTGTGACTTTTTTTAATAGTTGAAGAATAATAGAGTGAAAGAAGCTGTAGTTACTTTCTTGGAGCTATTTCATGTGATAGTGTGAGACAAGACATAAAACCAAGTCTTCTGATCATAAGCCACTGCAATCATACTGCAAGGAGACAATCTGGTCAATATGAGGAGAAACTGAGTAAGAGTGTAAGGCGTGTGAAGCTGAAAATGGACTTGCTTAGCAGCTGTTGCAATTCCTATCACTTCACAAGGCAGAGCCCATCCTCTGGGGGAGTGAGTACTCAGGTATTTTACAATGCAAAGATTTTAG